GATGTGGCTGTGTCTCACCATGAGGACAAGGGCACTGGCAGCAGAAGTTCTGGGAAGTACTCCTTGTCATGAGCCCTCCCAGAGTCCTGGAGATAGTCATTTTTAATGAATTGTGTGTGTGTGTGTGTCTGCTTATCATATGTCATACCATAAGTAAATATCAGGGTACTTCACATTTTAATTTATATAGATTTATACAAAATTTTTCATTTAAATTTCTTTTAAAATAGGGTTTATTTCCATTTCATACAGAGGAAAATCAATATACCAAAATTACCAACATCTATTTTTTTTGGAGAGAGCCACCCATGATGCCCACGTCAGGACTCTGAATTCTAGGCCTGATGTGATCACTGGGTCATGGTCCCTCTCACTAAAAGCTCATCCAGAATGGTGCCTTGTGACACAAAGGATCTTCTGAGGGAAGATGAAGGACTCAGCCATGCCCATGACCTTTGTCTCCAGTAAGAAAATAGTCTTCCCTAAGTCCTATTACAATGTTCAGTTATAAACAGTGGTGCTTAGTACATAGAGGGTCTTAAATAATACGTATTGATAAATAGATGGAAGTAGTCCACAGTTCTTCCAAATGTCTGGACCCTTTCATGTTTGCTTTTTAAAAATAAGTCTCTTTATTTTAGACCTTAGTTTAAAAACATCTCGGCATTAAGACTTACATTTACCCTAGAATCAAGTTATATTGTTACGATCAGACAGTGTTAAGGAAAAGAAAATGCATTTTTAATTTTAAAAAAAGGACTTACATTTATTCTTTTAAAACACTTTACATATGATCACCCATGTATGCACCGATGTAGGCTATTTTATTTGATAATTATTACTGCTGATTTTATTTCACCTGATAATTTTGTTTGGGTCCCTAAAACTACATTATGAACTACCTTAATTATTTAAATTAGAAACAGATTACTTTTCTCCAGTGTACAAACTCAAATTAATTTCATTATTAACCCGAGTTTTAAATTGATTAATCTTGGAGTGTTTAAGGAACCGAGTGGGGTTTTTTCGTCCTTAAGGAGATGGGCATATTGATTTGATGACTCTCTTGCTGTCACACCAGTTGTGCTATGAAGAACAAGACATTTGCAAGAAAACTTTGGATAGATTTTATAAACCAGCCAGAAACCTGTGTGTCTGGGGCTTCTGGGCGAACAATCTGTGAGTCATTTTAAAAAACAAACACACTCATAATCACGGTGCATGGTGTTACCATGGTAATTAGGCCTGTGGAGTTGGGCTGCTTATGTTCCTGTAAAGGGAAGAGGGGGAGAGAAACTGAGAATTCAGAGCGCTGACTATCAGCTTCAATTTGACTATCACAAGAGAGTGTAGGGTTTCTTGAGAACGTACTGGCACAGTTGTCCTGAGAGGGAATTGAAGAAACTCTGGCATCCTCCCTTTGTTACTGAATATAAGTTAGCCGTTTTACTGTTGGGTGTTGTGATTCACAGGAGAGAAAAGGGCCATTTGGCATTCTTTCAGGAAGAAGGGGGGAAAATTGGTCCTTTATCTGCTATATAATTACATATAAGTCTCTCAGATCTACCCGGTAAGTGTCTGATGTGCAGGTGCACAGGGCTTTAGTGAGCCTCTAAAAGGTGCCAAAATGCCACTGGCATAATATTACAGATTTAAGCGCTCCTCAGTGCATTATTCTAATACAGTTAGAGACCGGTTTTAGTGAGGCCATTGTTTCAGATCTGATCCCCAAGTAGACCAGGTCTCTTTTCTCTAATTTTATGGAGTAGATATAATTCCTTTATCTTGGACAGTCATCTTATAATATAGGCCCCTGGATCACAGAGGAGACCAAGGAGGTTATGTGAGCTCTGCCAAATCTGTCATCACTCCAGGGGAAAGTAAAATCAACATACGTGCTTTTTTTTTTTCCCCCATTTAGTTATTTATTTTTTGGCTGCGTTGGGTCTTCGTTGCTGCACATGGGCTTTCTCTAGTTGTGGTGAACAGGGGCTAGTCTTCATTGCTGTGCGCAGGCCTCTCATTGCGGTGGTTTCTCTTGTGGTAGAGCACGGGCTCCAGGTGCGCAGGCTTCAGTAGTTGTGGTGTGCGGGCTCAGCAGTTGTGGCTCGTGGGCTTTAGAGCACAGGCTCAGTAGCATTCGGGCTACGGTGGCGTAGTGGCGTAGTGGCGTACGGGCTTAGTTGCTCCACAGCATGTGGGATCTTCCTGGACCAGGGCTCAAACCTGTGTCCCCTGCATTGGCAGACAGATTCTTAACCATTGCACCACCAGGGAAATCCCAACATACATGCTTTTTTGATGGACAGTCAACAAAGTGGGATTACTGAGGAGTGATTCATTATGATTCTGTATGGAGAACAATCAACACCCTTAAATTAAAGGTATGAGTTAGTGCACCTACAAAACTGGTTTTTAAGAATGATCTAAGATTTACTTTAAGAAGCCTAGGTATCCTCTTAAATGGATAATACATTGACTAGAGGTTTTTTTTAGAGTATTCCTCATGCAGATTTTATTTCTACAACTTTTCCTTATTAAAACTATTTTTCAAAAGGCTTGAAATAAAGTGCCATGGAGTTTGATTAAAGGGTCATGCAAATGCAGGGAGTTTGTGTGTGATTTTTCTCTGGCATATGGTGTAAAAACTATTTCTCAAAACTGTGGATTTCATTTTTCCTCTCATATGTGGGAAGAAGGCACATGTTACCCAAACTTCATTCTATGCTGTCTTAATCTTTTTAAGATTAGTAAACAATGCTTAACTTAAACTTTTTCTGATGGTGAAAGTAATTCATGGTGATCATTGAAAATTTGGAAAATACTTATAGTGTAAAAAAAAAATTAAGACTGATCCCTTCCATTAATTAGGTTTTTGGTTGAACCACATATAGCAGAGACCTGATTTCACAGTGGCTTACGGAAGTTAGAATTTATTTCTCTCTCACATAACAATCCAGAGGTGTGTGGTCCAGGGCTGGTAAGGTAAGTCTCCTCCACAAGGTCATCCAGGTATCCAGTCTCCTTCTATCATACTGTTACATCATTCCAAGCATATTTTCCTTGCTTTATGGTCTAAAGTGGCTTCCTACCATAAGGACCTCACTATAACCAGTAGGAAGGGAGAAAGTTGGAAAGGGAACGGCATGACCCAGAAGTTGCACCCATCACTGCTGCAGCAATCCCCTTGAACTTTGTCACATGGCCACACACCTAGCAACAAGGGAGGCTGGGAAAAGCAGTTATTCTTGACATGTATGTGCCTAGCTTAGATTCTATCACAAGCATGGAAGAAGGGGAAAGCAGATACTGGGGCATATCTAGCAATTTCTGGTACTTCCATTTTCTATACAAAAGGGATAATACACTGTTAACATTTTGACATACGTTCTTCCAATCTTTTTTTCTAGAAAATATGTATCAGAAAGATATGTATAATATTTACTAGAAAATATTGTATGTGATACATTAGAATATTAAATATGAAAATGTATTCGAAAAATGCATATATATAATATATAGATATTAGAAAATTAGCTGAGGTCATACTCTCTATATAATTTTGTATTCTCTTTTCGTATAACTTTATTCCGTGTGTATTTTTCCTCATCATTTAAATTTTTTGTATTTATTGTTTCCAAGTTCCATTGTGTGGAAGTTTTCTGTTTTACCTAATGGGTTATGTTATTCATATTTAGGCTATTTCTAACACCTTGGTAATACTTCTTTGTCTATACTTTGCATTTTTTGGATCAAGTCAAGGAGTGACATCATCAAGACAATGGGTGAGAACATATTTGGGAACTTGATAAATATTGCCCAACTGCTTTCCAGAGAGATTGTGTTGATTTGTGCTCTCCCAAGAATGTATGAGCGTGCTGGACTCAGAGCTCCCTTCGAGGCTTATTTTGCAAGTCCCACTAATCATTGTTATCCCTAGGGTTTATTCTCTGAAAATAGGTTGTTTTCTGCCCTTGCCTTGTTTTTGTTTCCTTTGCTGTCATTAATCATGAGATAATGGTTTTCTAATAATGTTGGCTCATTTAAAAACATATGGTCCCGTATAGTCATCTGGGAATATAATCAGTTGGGCTGAGATTTTAGCACACGTGCCAGTCTTAGGCAATGGGAGACCTCTAGAGACACTGATGTTCATTTGGTCTCAGGACCCAACGTGAATTTGATTTCCACTCTCAGTCATAATGCTCTAGATGCTAAGTAACTCTTAGTTCTGAGACACAGCAAAATATGAATGGTAAAGCGTTCCCTGAGGCTTAGGCAAGTTCCCTTTGAGCTGGCTGCTGGATATCTTTTCAGAAGTAAAGACAGGAACTTTCTTAGATATGAACCACACTCACACAAGGCGGAATTAGGCCAACTCTGCCCAGCATCCTAAAGGTCATTAGTGGCTAAGGGTATAGGTGTTTCTACTTCTAAACAGCCTTCAGCTTTGGATGCTAACGATGTTTTTTAACCATTAACTTGTCCAATCTGTCCTCTTAAAGGGTTAGATATACACGAATGGAGCCCCACCCCTGTCCCTAACACCTGGAGAAAGAGTGTATCTGGCACTTTGGTC